TGCTGTATGAACTCATCATATTTATATTATAGCAGGTAAAATGGTCCATGTAGCGCGACTTATGCCGTCTGCAAACTTTGTTCGCACGTGAAACGAATGTCGAGCTGGCGTTGACCAAACAGCAGTACGCAGGATGCATTCGGTCTGACAAGCCCCCTATGTTTGCATTTGCTCTGTAGCTTACATGAACTTATTGCCTACTAGAGAACAAAATTAACCCTGCAACTGCACTTTATCGATCCCGTCCACAAAATTGAAGACCGTTAAAGTTTGAGCAGCACCGAAGTCCCGGCCCAAAGTTTCGACGACCAATTTCTAGCACATGGTCGTATTGTCTTGACACCTCCTTGAAGTGCTGCCTAAGCCACGCAACCTTCTTTGCGACTTCGATTACCGTGGACAAAGCACTTCAAAGCAACTATTCAAAATCAATTTGCTAATGCAATCAGCGGTGAAAAAACAGAAGAAATTCAATCTCGGAGGGTAGGGGGCTTAAAAGCTTCTGCAGTCGGAAAGCAAAATTGATGTAAATGCGATATAAGAAAAGTCGGGATTGGGGTGTATGTGAAACCGTGAATAATGGTAGGAAAGATTTCGACGTCTACCGTTGTTTGTTTTGTGTAAAATGTTACGTATCGATTACACGTCTTGAGACAATGGAAAGTAATAACAAAGGGTAGCGACTGCTTTTAACGTATACTAAATGCCTATTGGCAATAACCCTTGTCAACGTTTTTGATGCTTTTGAAGAAGAAACCACAACGCAGCTAACAGTCAAGAATATGAAACTGTTAATTTATGCTTATACACTAATACACTAAAAAAATAATTACATAACTTACCATAGGTAATTTTGTAACCAACGTTAAGTGATGTAAACTAGATTATACTAAAACATCTACTATATATTTTTGTCATAATATGTTCCGATATTAAAATACATAATAAGTTACTGGAACGCAATATATTATTTAGTTTCTACTTAATATGTTATTATATTATTCATGAGCTTGATTATCTTTTTACATACGTTCTGTTAAGAATTACAGTGTAGCAAGGGAACATTCTAGTACAAGAATTTTAGCTGTGTAGTTCATAAGAGTAATTTATATAGTTATGGCATACTTTTGTCAAGAATCACTTTATCGCAAATCTGGAATTTGAATTCCAATCTTTTTCTAATAGACTTCTATATGAAATACCTTTATAACACAAGAACCTTATCCTGTGCCTTTGAATTATAAAAAATAGTTGTACTAAAGTGATTTTCATATTATAACCGTATAAAATACAAACCAATTAAAAGAACTTGCTGTCAAATAACTACAATACGAGCTTGCTTCTAAGTGGGGCATCCTATAGGTATACTGATAATGCCTAGTATGTATTGAACTTCAACAGCAATAAAAACATTAGTACATGAAAATACCTTCATTTTGAAGTCCAGTGGCAAAAATAAATCAAAATCAATTAGAAAAAGATGAAAGTTACCACAATCCATTGATTTGTTTCATCATCAAGAACCAATTGCCCACGGGCATGGGGCGCATGAAAATAAGATAATTGTGTAAAAACACATTCTAAATATGCGAAAAAACTTATTGAAGTTTCTTATACAGCAAAGAAGATATAAACGAGACATATTTTAAAAGTAGCAAAGGAACTTTCAGTTCACTTTCACAATACCAACACCTCAACTTGTTAGCGCTTGTAAGACTGATCTATCACAAGGAAAAGTTCACCCTCACACTATGCAGGCCCAGAATCTGCCTTAGAGGTGCCAAAAAGCACAATGAAGAACCAAAGTCAAAGAACGCTTAAGAAAGCAGCACAAGAAACATTGACTCCTAGTGGGTGGATGTATGCATGGGAAAGAATTCACCTCGGGACCATGTCTAAACAAAACTGCGAAACTACTATCAATGAGTAGAAACCAACGCCGTGCAGCTACAGGGCTTCTAACAGAACACAATGGACTAAAAGAACACCTGATCAAAATAGGGTACTATGGAGACTTTTGCTGCAGACAATGCGGCAAAGGAATATGTTTTATGTGAGTGCGAAGCGCTGGATCACCAAAGACAACAACTCTTCGGGAAACGAAAACTTGAACCGATGGAGTTTAGAACAGTACCGGCAAACTGTACCAGCTGGTCCAGACTGCTGGATTGGGTACTGTAAACTTGAGGCGCAAGGCACAATAAGCCCTAGAGGCTGCAGTGCCATCGGGGACTTGGGTCGGGCGGCCCCCGGAAGGGGGAAAAAGACTAATCTATCCTAGAAATTGTTTTGGTGCCACCGCTCATCTTCCACGTTATATTTTGACACTTTACACAAAAAAAATTTAAAAAGTTGGTAGATCCTCATTATTTATGTGATTTTACCTTTTCCGGAGAAAACGGCATTGTAACTTTTTCTGTATTACTGCTGGCTCCTTGTAAAAATAATCGTTTACGTGGCAAATATACATGAGAAGACACAAGTGGATGAAAGTGTCATGTAACATTTTTGTTAAAATTGCTTTTTTGCATTAAACTAACCTTAAGGAGTGATTCTTCCAGTCTGTGATTACTTTGTTGCAAAATCAAGTTATGTAATAACAAACTAACTAAACTAAATTTTCGAAATTTCAATAAAGTAAAAAGTCGCAAAAAAAATGTTTAAAGTAAATTTTCTCCACACAATGATTTTTTTACATAACACCTTATACACTTGTGTCTTCAATTATTGTATTATCACATGATTATGCCAATTAATGTTGTTGGTATTGTAAAAGCAAAAGGAAAATGGTGTTAGGGAAATATTTACATAATATAGAATGTGATTTTAGACGCATTTTTTGCAGTTCTAAATTATCTCGAACCAGGCTCAAAAAATATTATAAAATCGAAGATCACCGACGACTAGCCATGGACAGCTGTTTCGTGCTATTTGGTATTCCTCAGCATGATACAGGCTTGGTCTCGGTGGATTACGACGTAATTTGTGCCAAATTCCTGCCGCTAGTTGAAATGTCACCGAGGTAAAGATGTGAAAAGGATTATCTTCCTGAAAGGTGATAAATTAGCAATTATTTTAGAGGTAATCTTGATACAATATTCTAAATATCATAGAAATAAAATATCTCAAGTGCGTAACTTTTTCATTTTCTGTATTATTCTTTTTTTGGAATATCGCTACATGCCCCCTTTCCCTCCCTAATGGCGCCCATACTTAAAGCAATATTGAAAGATTTCTACTCAAAACCATCACATATGACATTATAAGAACCTTTGTAACTAAATGTAGGTAGCTTGGATTTTTTCGATTGGTTACTCGTAAGGGTCCCATAATCAATATAAAATATCGTCTCAGTGGCGACGCGTGACTTTTCCTAAACTGTTACCAAAAGCAGATGTGAAAAATCTTATTAAAAAAAAGGTTATTTTGAACCTCCCAAATACATATAAGTTTTTGCTTATTTTAGGTATTTTATTTAAAACATTTTTAAATTAAGGTAAACATTCCTGGACTGAGCGTTTGGGGCACTTGATATACCTCATCGTCTTATGCTATGACTAATCCAAGCCGTCCGAAAAAACAGTCTACGTTTCTAGATGTTCCGAAAATTTTTGATCTTTTTTGGCAATGAATGCTAACAATTCCCTGTAATTTCCTCTACTGTCAAAGTCATCCCCTTACAAATGAACGGTAATTCCTATTTTGCCAAAAACATACGGTATCTAGAAGTGTGCTGCCTAAAAGCTTGGTTAAAACAACTTTCGATTCTTGTTTTGCCAAACTGAATTAAATTGGCTACACATCTCACATGTAACGGCGAAATTTCATGTCTCCTCTTTGGAGCCCTAAAACTTTTTAAATCGTTGACTCCGCTGCTGGTCCACCCATTTTTTTACTGTATAAAACAGAAGACATCGCCAACAATACAATCTGTTTTTTGCAACCACGTAAGCAAGAGTTTCCATATACCAACCTAATTTAAAATATCAAACCACGTTTTTTTATTCCTTTTTAAAATCATCTAAAATAGGTGTTGGTCTTCCATTTTCAATGATCTCCATTTTTTATTAAAAATTATACAAGGAGAATGACTTTTCAAGTAGTTGATGGATTACGCAACGACACTCATCCATGTTTAATTGCAGGCACACTACAACCGGTAACCAAAACGGCTACTAACGAGTGAGACACCAAATCAAAAAATGATAACAAGCCCACATAATGTCACAGCGCCCCACGCACTAAGGCGACCGCGATCAGACACGAACCGGTTCCGACAGTCCCCGACGAACTACCAAATGTATCCATAAATGAAAATGGTAACATCCTACAACCAAGTCGAGGCGAGTCAGCTTCATCGTGTTCGCAAAACCTAGACACTATAGTGCGCATTATTTTCGTGGGGCTCATTTGTTATTTACTGAATTACTATTACATATCACTGTTGTTAAACAAATAAATGAAATTATTTCACAGTACTTAGTCATAAAATATTTATGTTTAAGATTTTTAACTGTTACCAATGGTAACAATGGTTACATGGACGCTTCGCCACTGTATCGTCTTCCTTATCCATGAAGTAAAATTCCAGCTATCATAATTTGATTTTGCGAAATAGTTCATTAACTACTAAATTTGCAGGTTGACTATTTAATTGAGGAAGTTATGAATGAGTTCTTTGCTTTTATGAATTCATAGCTACTTGTACTGCCAATATGTTTTATATGCAGAAAATTAAAATCAGGAAACATTTATCACGCACCCGGTAATCCGTATCCCGTTGTCTTCCGAAGGCGCCCGAACAGGTTGCTTTCAATTTTCGAGCCCGATCAAGTGTGCGACCGTTCGCCGTTCGCTTCTCCGTTGTTTGCCGCTCGGCGCCGCACAGTGCATTTCGACCGTTGTTGTGGGAGGTTGTCGTCGTTTCGCCACAGTTTCCCTATGTTTACGTGAACTTTTCGAACTTTTCCCTATTTCGGAGTTTCACGAACGAGTCCGCGATGGGTTCCTTGTGGTTCACAGACAATTTCCAGCTTGCTAGGGTGTCGCAGGTGTGGCTTTTTGTGTTGTTAGTCGCTGTTACAGGTGAGTCAACTCTACCTTGATTGCTATACCTTATAACCTCACTTTCGCTTGACTGACAGTTGTTTTGTTTATTGTTGTGGAAAGTGGGAAGAAAACATTGGTTTTCTTATTTGTTAGATGGATATTTGCTAAGTTATGTGTGAATATAATGAAAAATACTGACTACGTTGTCCGATTATTCATGTTTTTCCAAGAATCTCAATGTTGTTAACAAAATTGTTGATATTGTGATTAAATTCATCTATGACAAAAAACACATTTCGCATTCCCAGAAAAGTTTAAATTTTATGAAAACAGTTGAAGTATAGATTCTGCTAGTATGTTCCTGGAAACCGTTGCCTACTTACTAGCTGAAGTTGCTAAAGAAGGATGTCCAAAATTCATTAAAAAAGATTTTCAGTGACACTGCGATAGTACGGAAAATGTTTGCAGTTTTAGAAAAGTTTTGCAGCATTAAGGTTTCTCAATTTCGATGCCTGTTTTTTCCATTCTTTCTATTCAGTGACTGGAAATCCTATAATCATTACAACTTAATTTAGGCTTGGTTCAAATTTCTTTTTTGTGGTTCATGACCCCAAAGTCGATTTTACAATTTCTAAATATTCTTGTTGATTTTCTTTTCTTAGATAATCTGACAATTATGGTCTAAATTCAAAGATGTAAATAGTGGTTTATAATCATCAGCAAGAGACATATTTTTGTAAAAGTGTATCAGTACCCAAAACTTTTTGAAGAGCAGGGGGTAACAAGCATTAAAAATCCCCATAATGTGAACAAAATCATGCTAAACATCCACAATTTAAGAGCCTTCCCGATTCTTCTCCGTGGGCGTTCGTAGTTATAAGTACCTTAAATCTTTGAGAGCTTGTCTGCAAAGTCCATTTTTCAAAAAAGTTCTGAAATGTTTTTCATTATTTTTAACTTATAATTGTGGTAGAACTATTATAATTCTATTAGATATATTTCAAAGTGAGTTTTGATGTCTTTTTTATTACTTTCTAAGTTACCTTCAATTTTGGGCACACTAAACATGAAATGTGGTTAAACGCTTTGAACTGAGCTGTCAGGCAAATTATAAAGTACTTAGTTCTTCCTCGTTTTAATACGACCAGGTACCTCACTGGTATGTTGTATAACATTATAAGCAAACCTTTCATAGAAAACATCTAATTCGCAAGAATTATATTTTAAAAACGTTTATTGTATTCAAAAGTGTATTAGTATTTTTTAAGATAAAACATTTTAAACCTCTTCTTATAGCTACCTCAAGTATAACAACGCTTTCAGGAAAAAAAATCCCTAAATTCCTTTGTCCAGCCGCAAAGCACACAACTACCATTGTAATGAGTGAGACCAATGAAACTGGTTTTGGTTCACATAGGTAGCAAGATTTCCGGGAAATCTTGTTTTCCAAAATAAACCACATGAATGCTTATGGTATCATAATACTTCCGTAGACATCTTCACTTCTTTGGGTACACTGTTGCATTAAAAGACTAGCGCAGGATGATGATTTGTGAACTGTTTGACATCATATTGGATGTCCTTCTTATAATCATTTTTAGATTCAATTTTCCAATTTCTTCCACAAAATTGAGAAACATAGAAGCACGATAAGCTAGAGAACTACTGGGCGTACCGTTATGATCTGATACCTCAGCGTGCTACGGAAAATCTATTGGTGCACAAATAATGCACTGTGTGCAAGACACCTTAAATAATTTTCCCCATGGAAAATGTAAGTTATGGTATTTATTCTTTGATGATGGCCTACTGTCTGTTTTTCTTAGTTCAAGAAGTAATTCTCGAAGATTTATATATATTTGGGTTTTCAGTGTTTGTTAAGAAAAATAAAACGTATTTTGTTTTCATGTCCATTATATCTAGATTATATGATATGTGATACATATTTGACAGGGTCAGACAATATTTTAATTTGTTTTGACAGCTTTTATAGGTACGAGAGAAAATGTGTGGCCAGGGGAATGACATTTAAACTATAAAAAATATACCTTAAATGTGAAATAGATAACAAAGTCTTCAGTTCCATCGGTCTTGAAACAATAGAATCCTATGGATTGATAGCTCACAGAACAGGCTAGCGGTTGTCTTTAAAGCTAGAATTTTTTTTTGATTAGCGAGTTGCAGGCGTTGATTTCATTGTTTATATTTTCTTTTAAAGAAATGACATAAAGTAGAAAGTAGAAAAAGAAGAAGAGTAGAAACAACAATTGACATGAAACCTGCCAGGGTAGTGTCAAAAACGTACATCAATTACTATATTATGTGATTGATGACATTCACGAAGATATACTTACCAGGGTAAATACTAGAACGACTGGAAAAAGGGTCTCTATCGACACTACTTGAGCAACTGACGCGTTCTTGATTTGACTAGGTCAAGCCGCGCTACTTTTAACCTACCATTTCTGGACTTGCTACGAATTTAAAAAGGTCAAATCACGCATTTGCACATTTACACGAAAACAATAAAAACGTTTCTTTAAGTGTTTGTACAAATCTTTACTGTTTATTTTCATGAAGATGTGTTAGAATGTGTGTTAAGCAATGCAATGAGTATAGCAGTAGGTATCTACATTATGAAAATTGATCACGCATATTGTGCCTAAATTTTCATGGTTGCCTTAATTTCATCGTTTGTTTCCACAATCTATCGATTTGCTTAATAATTTTTTGGCGAAACATTGGAATCCCAAATACCGTATATTCACCCATGTACCAATATGTGCATACTGTTAGTTAAATAAGGCCTTCTGTTACAATAAAGCAATAGGGCAAACATGACCTTATCTCAGAAAACGGAGGAACATCTGCTTGCAAAATTCCTTTAATCGAGACCAATACCAAATGTATACTCAATGTGTGTATTTCACATTTTTGTCGTCTACAGTCTAGACTTGGTTGCATATGTGGTTTCCCATATCAGACATACAGAGCTTTCGTTTGTTTTGCATTAGTAATATCAATACTGCAAAATGTGAAACAAATATAGGACGGCGTGATTTAATCCTGGATTTTATGCTTTTGGATGTAAAAGATCTTTTGCAAAGCCTCTGGATATTATATAGAGTTAGATATGATTTATCAAGTTGATCACAGATAAACTTTATTATAGACAGACCCTTTCTAACGAACGATTAAAGACAAAAAAAGGTTTGAGATGTTTTCGTTTCGAAGTTTTTGTTAATATATTATTATCATTATAACAAAATTTTTTAAAGTGCCCAATTTATTTTACCTATAATTTTCTAGGATGAGTTTGAGGGAAATACCTCTGGAAAAACCAGTTTTTTATTATTTATAGAGGCAATAGCCAAAAAGCGTTTTTAAGAATGATAAGTATCGAGAAATCTATTTGACTAAGAATCGAAGTTTCTGTTCGGGGTATGTATTGGTGATATAAATGGAATTTTTTTTTAACTTTTTTCATGTATAATATATATTTTTATAATTTTTATTCCAACGACACATCAATGCCTTTTCTGCTAAAGTATATTTTGAGTGTGTTCACTTTTTTCTATGAACAAGAAGTAGTAAAAATTATCCGACAAAGTTTAAACGTGAAACTGTGGCGTAATAAGTCCTACTAGGATGTAATAAAATTAAGACCCTATTAAATAGGAGGAAAATAACTATATTTTTCTGACGCTAAAAGTTTCTATCGGTGACCGGAATAAAAAAAGGCCGTCAAGCAGGCTGACTCTGTATTTCCCACGCAATGCTATCATAAAGGATTGTCAAGAAGTTAGCCCCTCTAAGAAGAACGTTAGCTACGAGCTAACAAACAATTGAATGGATCAAGAACGTCGAACAGGACTTTACAATTAGTTCATAGTCCCAACGCATTACCGATCAACTGCACGTTGTGCTGTAACTTTTGCACTCTCTACCCGGGCACGACACTGCGGCTTTTCATCGGTCAGCGATCAGATATCTGTCAGCCCTCAAAACACGTATATGTACGTTCGTTTAGTTGCGTGGGTAGTGTGAATCGAAAATACTTCTTTATCATTAGTCAAGTCTCGAGGACAAATGTACGTGTAAATATATGAATTATGTATGAAATAAATAGAATAGTAGAATTACCAGGGTTGGAAGAGTGTAAATATACTAGCGCCAAAAAATTAGATATATCCCTCCCACCCCAACATTTAACCCCTTCAACATTTTTCCTGAAAAAGATCAGGAGCGTCTGAAATGTGAGAAAACGAATATTAAGCGCTTTTTTTGTTATTTGCCCCAAACTTTGCCGCCAGTGGAATGGTTTTCAAAAACTACTAAGCTTTAGTAATCTTGAGTCAACATTTCATCCAATCCGAGCGGGTTCCCAAGTAATAGTCCGTCCAGGATACCGACGGAAATAAGTGACATGGTTTTTGTTTTGTGTATATCACGTAACATCCAAAAAACATAATATCTCATTTCTTGCGATTACAATACTTCCTCTTCAATGACTTTAGAAGTATAATCAAATCCTATTGCATGTTTCTTTTTGCGAGAAGTACATGCTTGCGAAGGATTTAAAGAGTTATTTTTTAATGAACGAATTTCATTTTGTCTCTAATGAGATGTGACATCTGCTTGAGAGATGGCATTATTCTAGGTCTAATCTGTAAGTTGTTGACTATAGCTGAAAGGAATCCGCAGTCGCTTGAGATGCACTTCTTCTTATTCGTCCTGGAAATTACTTACGCAAATTTGATGAATTTTAAAAATGAGAGAGATAAGAAAAGAAAATTCCTGGTTGGTGAATATTTATGAAAGGTGAAAAAGTTATCACATATTACAGTATTTTTAATTTTCAGCCACTTAAAATTTATTTTGCCATGTCAAATAGAAAATACAAATCTGCGCCTTGATGTGATGCACTGCGAAAATGTTTTGTATGCTATGGGTCATTCCTAATTCTTCTGTAACGTGGGCGCGGTGCTGATGTCCCATAATGCTTCTCATAGTTTTAGAAAACGCAAAAAACCGGG